AAAAAAAAAAAAGAAAAAAAAAAAAAAAAAAAAAAAAAAAAAAAAAAACAGAAACACAAGCCGACAAGGTCCCGCATGAAAAGTCAGGAAAGGTCACACCATGAAGACCAGACGTGGTTGCACCCGACGGAAAGGTAACACCTTCGGAGCTTTGAATGGTATGAGTATGTACATACAAAGTACTGAGTACAACCAGGATCTAGCACCTGGACCTCAAAAGTCTCGATTCGTGAAGTCACAATGCCAATGAGGAAGATACCGGGGAGGGGAAACAGGGGCCGTGGGGCCATGGAACCGGCACTATTGCCATCCACGATGAACATGAACTGCTTTACGGGTGAAACAACCGAGATGCTTGGCAGGAATCGCGGGGCTTAGTCATGCGGCAGCCCCTTTTACGGAGTCCGAGTTGAATTGCCCAGCGCGCAGACCCTCGTCGCTACTCCTCGTGTGGATCGTCGCCCTTGAAACTCTGGGCCCAATTAATTAAACTATTCATTTCACTTTCGCTCCTTCTGCCACATTCACTCTTTTCTTTTCTATCGTTACATTTTGGTTCAGCCTGTGTTTTGCTTTTTCTTTCTTTCGGTTCTTTCTTCATCTCTTTCCTTTTTCTCTTCGTCTTCTGCTCACCTCCCCTTCGCCGACAAGGTAAGTTCGGTTTGTTCTCTTGTTCACCTTGCGTCCCCTCCTGCGACGGTCTTGATTGAGATCGCCTTGGTTGACGTGGAGATTGACAGGACGGAGTAATTGACCTTACAGCGGGATTTCTCACGCTTTTCCCACAACCCCCCCCCCCCTCCCTCCCCTGCTCGTGTCCAACCGCAATTGAAACCTGGTCCCAATTCCGATCGCAAACACGATTGAGGACTTCTGCGCTCCATCAACAGTAGCACTACCTCACTTTTACGCTTTTTATTATTATCGGTGACCTCAGGAGTTAGCAACCCCTCGTCAAAATGGGTGGTCAAGTTTCCAAGTTAATGGGGAAGATCTTCGGGACGAAGGAAATGCGGATTCTGATGTTGGGTTTGGATGCTGCTGGAAAGACCAGTAAGTCTACGCCCCTGAATCGGGTCACCTCGCCGCGTGTTATGGAAAAGATTAGGGAAGCTGATAGGCGTGTGAAACAGCAATTTTGTACAAACTGAAACTCACGAACCAGGAGGTCACTACCATCCCCACTGTCGGGTTTAACGTCGAAAGTGTAACCTACAAGAATGTCAAGTTCAATGTGTGGGATGTCGGTGGCCAGGACAAGATCCGGCCACTATGGAGACACTACTATTCCGGTATGGCCTATCGCAATCCACTCGGTTATTTCAGCCAGCGAGGATAAACGCTGACCTTGTCGGTATTTTTGTAGGAACGCAAGGCTTGATCTTCGTCGTTGACTCCAGCGACACCGCCCGGATGGAGGAGGCTCGTTCCGAGCTTCACAAGATCATCAACGATCGCGAAATGAAGGACGCTCTTCTCCTGGTTTTCGCGAACAAACAAGATATTCAAGGCCGTACGTATCTCAAGAACCGCTAGGACGTCGCGCCCACTAATTTGATACCCGCAGATATGAGCCCCGAAGACGTCACCAATGCGCTCCAACTCAATAAGCTGAAGGACAAGCTATGGTATGTCGCGCCTAGCGTTGCTACCGAGGGTACTGGTATCTTCGAAGGACTTGTAAGTTTCCCCTTCCCGCTCCTCATTGGCCCTATCGATCTCTGACATGGAATCTCTCGCAGGCTTGGCTTTCCAACAACGTGAAAACACCAGCCCAAAAATAATTCCATCCGCGCCGCCCATCGTTGGCAGTGTAAATCTAGGGACCCCAATTGCATGGCTCTCGTGTATAACATTTCCTTATCTCGTTCGGCCTCTTTCGTTCATGTCCGCTTTGATGACAGAAGACGCAGCATTTGCAGTATGTTTACATTTCACTTCGTGCGCATGCTTTGCCCATCTCTTGAACTTCTTTCCATTTCCTTACCTTTTCATGATATCCCTCACTGTTTCTATGCGGGCCATTTAAATACTCTTTTTTTTCTTAATTAATACTTCTCCCCCTTACTGTCGACTGCCTCTTTCCTTTCGACGCATTGCCTTTGCATTGTATAGAAACATTTTGAATACAGAAAGAAATTCAGACCAACATACACAATGAATATGTTATATCCACGCCAGCAACCCACTGTTAAAAATACATACAATCACAGGTACACTGACAACGAAGCCTTAACCCCGGTACCGAAGCCCGACGAAGGACCCCGATGCTACCTAGGTCTCAAAAAGTCGCATCTACTCTTAAGCCTCACAACGGCTGCCCATATATCGAAAGCCAAGCCATAATTTAGCCTATATGCAAGGATGGGCGGGAGCTATTGAAACCTTCTAGTATATACTAACCAAAAATAATCATAATTACCGACCTCCTATTCCCGTAACGAATCAAACTGACCCCGTCTTCACATTACCCCCTGTTATAGAAAACAATCGCATTCAGACGAGCAACAGGAACCACCTATCTCACCGGCAAGCCACTGCCACGTAGACATAAGGAATGGATGGGGTTGCTATCTGTGAATGTGAATTTAACGTCAGTGGTACAAGCCCTCGTCATCCAAGTAGGTCTGCCACTCGCAGTGTTTAGGAGAGTCATTGCCAAAGCCCGATTCTTATAACCTGTAAAAGATGTCAGTTATCACCCAATTCATTAATCGTCAAGCCAAATATCTAGAACATCAACCGAGGCAACGCCCTCAGAAAACACGTCACGGTAGCGAAGTTCGGTAGGAGACAAAGAAATCGATCCTAAAGAGAATTTACCTGGAACCGAGAAGGATAGCTTTTAACAGGTTCTGCAAGATATCAATGTAAGCTATTGGTTTTGAGGAACCTTGCTCACTCAAGTCCCCAAAGAAAAGAAACAATGAAACAAAGCCCCTCGTCATAGAACCAGATACCTCTAAGCTCCATTTTGGTCGGTGGATGGAAGGACTCGATTATGGAGTCAGTATATCGGTAGGTACTGGTCCACGTCACTGAGTAGACCTGTCATTGAAGTAGTTTTGAACAACTACGAGGGGGGTCTACAACGTACTGAGTACCTACGATGACCTGATTGTAGGCTTTTGAGTGGAGATTGTGGACGACTCTCCAATTCTATATTGGGTGTAGTAATGCAATGTCGTAAAGGGACATCCAGTATGTGTGAGTTGCACAATCCTCTACGCCTCTAACAAATTAACAGTACTAAATGCCTACCGGGGTTCTGGTCGGTTACAAGTCGTCAAACCTTTCCAGATCCATTAACGCTGAATTGAAGGTTGGTTTCGGAAGTCCAGACTGCAGGGTTGCATGGCTGGACACTTCAAGTAGATAACCCAAGGACCCTGCAGGAACGGCGAAGACCAGTCCTGACAAGCCTGACTGCGGATAGCGTGATTTGAGTTTCGACCCACTAGTTGGGAACGTACAGATGGTGCTTTGGCGTTTTGGGCCTCCAAGGTCCTCTGATTTTGACTACTAGTACTATATTAATCGCAGAGCAAGAACATTGAAATTTGTGACCTGAGTTGAATCATTTATTATTGATCAAGTGATCAGGTATATACATATGCAGAACTGAACCCAATATTCCCAATCAGATACATTGATCAGCTTTCTGTACAAAGACATAACTTCGTCACGTTCATACACACAAATACGTCGCCGGTCACCCAGCCCGAGTGTGTCTCATTGTTGAAAATCGACATCAAACGACAACCATACCTACTTAAAGCTGACCAGGCCAGATGTCATTGGCAATTTCCCGGACAAGCTTCAGCTTGGCGATCATGCCGTTTCGGTCAATGGCATTGCCTTCTCTGTGACTAGCAAAGCCACACTGTGGGCTAACACCGACCTGCTTCAATGCTTCCTCAACGGAGATCTTGTTGCCTTCCGCGATGAATTTGGCGGCGTCGTAGACGCGCTTCTTCATTTCTTCCTTGTCCTCGAGCTCGGGGAACTTGCTGGTCACGACACCGAGAATGACATTCTTGTGCGTGGGAAGTTCCTTCAGTGGCTCGAAACCACCGGCGCGAGGGGTGTCGTACTCGAGGTAGTATGTGTCGACATTGAGCTCCTTGAACAGCTTGGTTGCAATGCGGTCATATCCACCTTCAGAGAAGTGACGGCTACCGACGAAGTTGCCACGGCAAATGTGTACACCGATGTGGAAATCGGCGGGACGCTTGGAAAGCAGATCGTTGTACAACTTGACGTACTTCTCGAACGTCTCATCGGCTGTGATGACGTTCAATGGATCTGCTTCCCAGCCCGCAAGCATCTTGTCAGAGCAGAAGTCTGTCGGCATTGTCAGTAAACTCTTCGCTATTCAACACAGGAAGGGTTATGCAAAGACGACTCACAGGCCAGGTTGGGGTCATCAAACTGAACATTCCTGCAGCCCGCGTCATACAAGATCTGGAGCTCATCCTGGTATGCCTTGGCGATGTCCGCAAAGTACTCGTCATCGGAGGCATACACATCCTTCGGGTAGGCCTTGCCCTCCTTATAGCGCAAATGATACCAGTTCGGAGCAGCAAGGGTGAGTTTGATGTTCTTCACCTCCTCCGGGGGAACGACGCTCGCCAAATACTTGAACTCGTCGATATAGGTACTACCGACGTGCTTGATTTTGCCAGTACAGATGACAGTCTCGCCAGGCTTGTGTCCAGCTTCAAGGAAAGCAGCGACATCGGGAGCATAGGGACGGAAAACATCGGCATCGACGTCTGTAACTTCCTCGAAACCATCCAGTCCAGGGAAGAAAGACCCCCAGAACACTAGATACAAGTTAAACCGTCAGCATCATGCCCCACTACACAAAGAACCAAGCCCTTCCTTACTATGTCTGCGGTATTCTCCATCCGAGACGGCTGCATAGCCAAGCTTCTTCTGAGTTTCAGCGATCTCCTTGATATCCTTGTTCTCGAGAGCGGCAAGCTCAGCCTCAGAGACCTGCCCCTGCTCGAAAGCTGTCTTTGTCTTCAACAGTTCATCGGTACGAAGGAGCGAACCAAGGTGTTCAGCACGGAAAGGGGGGTTGTGGTGAAGCTGGTGGGCCATATTGAAGAGTCCTGAGTCTGTCAATAAATATCGAGGCGCTCCCAAGTGTCTCTTGATGTGGTACCTGTTATCAAACGTGGTGATTGAGCGGGGGGGTTCGAAAGACAGACTTGACAGTTGCAGGGAGGGAACGATTTAAACAGAGAGGAGCCACCGAACTCGGACCTAAGCAAAGTAATGCTATTTCACATCAATTCGCCTTCTCCGCGGCTTGAAACTTTCACTAACTGCCGAGTGCTTTCACGTTCTCTGAAGTGCCCCACCGTAGAGGCTCTCTCCACATCCTGACTCGGGGAGGAGGAAGTGGAACTGTGGAAGAGATACTACTGCCATGATAGGTATATTGGAAGAACGAAGAGGATGACAATGAGAGTCGTGACCCTTGACATCATGTCAATGAGAGATTCCTGGTTGATGAGAAGGATATAGTAGATTGACGGACCGGATTTGCTACATGGGAGGTCAAGATAGATGAGGCAAAAGATCTAAAGATTAGATGTGGGTGTAGTTTGACTAAGCTCTTGATAACCATTGGTATCGTCCACGTTACCCATTAGTATTGCCTGGTTGGAATTATAGTTTCCGACCTTTGCCTCTTCCTCTCTAACTAAGTAGTAATTGTTCTATTGACAGTAAAATAGGATATCCATTCAAACAACAGACTCTACGGAGTAAGTATCGAGAGAGGATTTCAAGTCCACTCTGTCGTCCTCTTGGGAGTTAAATACTTGGCGCGGACGCTAAAAGGGACCACCAATGGAAATGTGGGGTCGTTTGTCCCAATCCAGCAGGGGGTTTTACCGCCACAGGCAATTCGACAGAGTTCCTTGCATAACTTCCTCAATGATATTCGTACGTACTACTTCCATGTCGCCTTGATAGCACTCAGCCTTTGTTACTTAATACGAATCATCCTTAACTACTAAACCTTTTCAACGAGTTTCAAAGTGTGTTACCGGTGAGTCTATTGCGGTTTTGAAACTGTTTTCCCGATACCCTTTGGAAGGATTGGCGGAGCTCGTGTGACGTATGTGGGGTCGCCACGGCAGTTGATGTCGGCCTCCTTTCCCGACCATCCATACACAGAGTATATAACCTCCATCGTATCTCTTAGTACGGAGTATGCCACGGAGGTTGAAACAGTACAGATCAATTACCCTACCTAGTCAATGGAAGCCTTAGCAGCTACTGTCAAGATGTGATATGTGATATGTGATAACCATGGAACACTAATCTCCTCTTGCAGGATATGCCGCATGCGATAATGGTCCCTCAAGGATCATCATTGGAAGCTCTGCCAAATGAGCTTCTTGACGAGATCATCTCCAATCTTTCATATCCACCCCCTTCATTAGCCAAGCTACACCAACCGCCAAGCAGGAATATCGTCAAGTCGGGTATCCGAGATCTGAAGAACCTCTCATGTACCTCTTCCCGTTTGCTCGAGGTCACACGACCACGATTATTTACTCACGTTTGCATCGACCTACGGGATGTAGATGAGTTTCTCTCCTTTATATCCGCTACAAGCCTAGCTCGACATGTAAGTTCAGCCGTGATCAAAGGGCGACACCCCTCAGATGACCGAGAAGATCCATTCTGGTGGCGCCGGGTATTGTCCTATGTCGATCCGCAGCGCATCACAATCATTGCACCGCCGTCGTTTATTGGCAAGATGACAGGCGCGCAGGTATCCGAGGAACACAGTTGGGCCTTTCAAGCCCCACTTCAAATCTTGCAGTTAGAGCAGGACACTAGAAGCTTTGACCCTCCACCACTTACTCATCTTGAAAAGCGCTCAACGCTACTTGAAGCTCGATCGTGGTCCTCCCTGCTATTCAACGAGTCCTCCTCTCTCAAGGCTTATAATCACTATGAATATTTCCTGTTTAAGGTTCCTTCACTGTTCAGCACATGGGGCTCATTAGAATACGTTAGACCTCGCCCGCAAAGGTTAATTTCGTCCCCCGCGCTCAGCAAATTGACATCCTTTCGGTACACCGCCGTATTCCCGTTCTATAATCACGTCAAATTGGTCTTAAACGCAGTGGAGCTGATGGAGAATTTACGGTCATTGAGTGTCCAGTTAGCACCATGTGAGGGCGACAAGGCTACCGAGCTAGAACAGAGGGGGTCTATGGACCCTAGTGACCCTTGGATGGAAATTACTACAGGTTATTCACTTATCGGGCATTCTGTAAGTGGCATGGGCAACAGAGGCAGCCTTGCTGAGTTCTGTGCCTGTGACTATGCACTCGACCCGTTACGGACCGAGCTATCTCCCATACTGGAAGATATCCTTGGCGATAGTGAATGGGCCCACGACGGCCAAGGGACTTGGACTAAGAAGAGCATATGTTCTGCTGCTTGTGCGCCAGCAACAGTGGAAGCTATTGTGCGAACAGCCGTTGCTTAACACGATGTCGGCTTTCTAAGCGCGCTGGGTTTGAGTAATCGAGATTCTTAAGAACCGCAATGACGGGTCGTTAAATAAGAAAATGCGTTGTATGAAGAAATATATACAAGGTTAGGGAGAATTGCATATATACAAGTCCGAAATAGCCCTATACCCTTATTGCCAATCGATAGTCTTGGTGCCTTAAAGCTAAGGCCTGAACACGTGGAATAGAGTAGACTTTCGGATGCAGTCTTCTTCTTGACAGCTTCTAAGATACTACTAGTATGTCGCACCTCAACCTCTGCACCAGGTCTGCTCAATGGATTTTTAGTTAAATCATAATGCTACCATATTAATCCAACAGAACTGTCGCCAAAATAGTTATTCTGTTAGGAACAGCCTGTACGAGACGGTCATACTCATTCCACTCCAAGATGGCCTCTACTTCTACTCCATACAGTTCTGCACCTGCATTCCCAACTCTCGCCCATTTTCTCTTGCCACAACCACATCATGGCCAGGTTTCTACACCAGGAACTTGGGATCTCAAGGATGACATTCGTAACGCATTCAAGAGCCCTGCACATAGTGTCTTCCGAAAAGGAACCGTAATTGGCTTCTCGAACCTGAGAGACCAGGCCAAGGAAAACGATGATATTGAAATTTTAGGCCAAGTATTGAGCTCCCTTTTCATTTTGTTCTGCTCATCTTCCAGCCTTTTCTCTCTTCCATCTCGCCACGAACATCAACCCAGCTGATGATAATCGTTGGCTAGGTTTCACGATCAATACTCGCAGCACAGCTTTGTAAAACATCAGCACCGTCAAGTTTTAGTGCTAAAGCATATATAATCCACCCAGCAAATCTTGACATTTTCTCTCCGCAAAGGCTGCTTGAATCTTTGTTATCAGCATCTCAACAGCCGCCCCTATCGCGCAATGAAGCAGTCTCACGTCTGGACCATGTTCAGTTATTCCCTGTCTTCGATATGGCTGCCGCTGCGCAATCTATAGGTGAGGTCTCAGGTGCTTTACATAGGTATAAAGAGGAACAGGAATCACGACAGAATCATCAGGCAGAATCCACAGGCAACAGTGACTGCAGTATTTTCCTCCTCATTGCCGGACTTGACACTCTCACCGAGGGAGTCGTACGCGCTTCCTCCATAGTCAGAGGGACAGCCATACTGTCAAATATACTGCGGACTTTGACACAATTGTCACGAATGCATAGCCCTTATCTATCCGTGATGCTTATCAATACTAGCGGTCTTGGGACGATGACATCCAACATGCACGTTGCCCCAGGTCAAATGCAGCAAAGGAGAAATCCAGGGTACAAACCGCAGACTTCTCTCGAGGATGGCCTTCAATCTATATTCCACGCAAGTGAGAGGTTGTTTCCTAGTCTCCTTATGCGAACATTGGAGCAGGGAATCGATGCTCATCTTCTATTATCGACTGTCAAGTCCGCACACGTGGTTGAAGTCATCAAAGATAGGGTAGGCAACGGTGTTGGACGATGGTGCATGTGGGACAAACGAATAAATTGAGCACTGGTTCCGGAAAGTTACTTTCTTGTTTGGAACTGGACTATTACATATCAAGCAATCCACTTATTTGTATATATTATCAAGTCTTACGCCAGCCTCATCGAAAATACCATCTGCGGCCCCAACTACCAAATATACACACCAACTCCATGTCGAAATCCCTGCGTTTTGCTTCCTTCCGCGAACAAGGGTATCGTTTATGCAAATGACCTTTTAACAGCATTGCAAAATAGCACTATAATCTCTCGCCTCAGCCTTACGTTGGCTTCATTGACATCCGTTTTGGGCATTCTCTTTCTCAGCCCACATCCTAAGAACAGCTCTCTCCACGACGTTTTGAGCTTCCTTCTCACACTTTGCAAGATCCTGGTCAAGTGTATCCTCCTCAAATAAGATCTCTTGTTGTTGAACCTTGACCCATTGTTTGTGTCTCTCACAGCGCTTCTTGGTACAAATACCCCGAGACAAGCTGCTGATGTCATCCTCTTCGGTTTTGACGCCATTCATGACGGTGTCACCATCTGCATCAGCTGTATCAGGATAGCTAGACGCCAGCGCCTCAGGAGTGCCATCCTCAAGTGTTTTCGCCCCAACTTCCGATAGCCTCCACTCGTCGAACTCCTCATCAGACCAGGCTAACCGTGAGTCAAAGCCGCAGATATCTTTCCATCCGCCTTTAGGTTCGGCTTGCTTCAATCGTTCTAGGAGACTCTTGGACCGTTGACGGACAAGATTCACGAATGTGTTACGCGCATTGAGCATATCCTTGCGGTGAAGCAGTTCATCACGCCGTTTTCGTAATTCTTCAATTTTCAATGCCTCATCGGGTGAGTATGTAAGGTCGTCAGGAGCAACATCCAATCCAAGCTTTTTCTTGTCCTTCTCTTTTGTGTCCGTCTCAGGATTATCTGGTGGTAGTGAGACGATCCGTTCGCCAAGCTTTCGAAATTCTGCCGCTGAAGATACATCCATTATCACGGCCTTGAGGTCACCGGCAGTGAGGATTCCGCCTCTGCTCCCAAGGTCTTCCATCTTGTTCTCGGGGGTCGGGCTCATGTTGAGGTACTGGGTCTTCAGGCGCATGAATTCCCGGCCATGCTCATCAGAACAGTATTTGCTAAGATTATTATTGATGAATCGAGCAGGCTTCCGACAAGAGGGCATTCGACACATTGGTTTCCATGTAGTGCATCCCTTGCCCTGCTCTTTGCAGTTAGGGCCTGGTTTAAAATTAGCGAAAAACTGTTATCGCAAGAGGCAACACCAGCATAATAGCAGCAGAGGGAAAAGCCACTTGAGACTTACATATATACTTGTCAATCAAGTCAGCGTCTTTTGGATCGATGTTGACACACTTTCCATGAAACCAGTCATCACAGTCGCCATCACAGGCAATCATCCATGTATGGTTATCAGGCTTACGGCATATACAGAACAATTCGTTTTCATCTGTTGAAGCTTCTTCTTCCCCATCATCGTGTTCCTCTTCTTTCGCTGCAGCTTTCTTCGGGGCCTTTCTAGTCTTGGTACCTTTCTTCTTCTTCGTCCTGCTTTCGGGTGCAGGAGAGCTTGCTACAGATGCAGAGCCCTGCTTCTTGACGCCAGGGGTTTTACTGGTGCGGGAGGAAGGGGTGTTTGATTGATGGCCATCAACACTTTCGGTATCTTCTTCGGTGATCTTGCGCTTTTTGGCAGTCGACTTCTTTGCCGTGCCTTTCTTTCCACCACCGGGTGTGGATTTCCTACCTGGAGTAGGTTTCACAGAATTGGCAGGCGATGACCGATCGGACGACGAGGCTCGTGAGCCTCGTCCTTGTTTCAGATCCGCAATTTTCTTCGGTGTCGGGTGCTCCCCGGGCGTGTTTACGCCATCAACCTGAGACAATATAGACTTGTTGTCGATTTCATCGCTTTCAGGAACCTTGTCCAAAGTCATGTTTGATGGTTCTGTTTTTACTTGTGGCCCTGGTGTATCTTGGCTCGCTTCAAGCTTGGAGCCCACCTTTGCGTTCAGGAGATCCTCATAGAAATCAGCCCATGCTTCAACATTACCACCAGCCGCCGCTAATGAAGACCATGTGGGCATTCTGAACCGTCGGTGTATCGTGTTTGCCCTTCCGAACCCAAAATATCCGCTGTGTCGCCAACCAATGATGCCCACGACTCGGTCATCGTTAACGATGATATTGGAAGGAGTCATGTTGTTATGTACTAGGCACAATATCTCATCTTCCTGTTTCTCTTGGAATAGCACATCCTTCTCCATTTCCTGTATCTCGGGCGATAGTTGAGAGTTGAGTCCGCTGCAAACGTACGACGGGCTGTCGGGTGCAGGATCGATGCTTGCCATGTGCTCAAGGATCCGACGGCATTCTTGCTTGAACTTGTTGATTTGCTCGGCGCTAAGATACCTCCAGGCAACTTCTAGAGAAACACCAGGAATTCTGGACTCCACAGTGATATTCTTCCCATCAACCGTCCCACAAAAATGTACTATCGGAACAGCAACGCTAAGTGCTTTAAGAACATCCTCCGCTTTCCTTGCTGCGCTCAATTCATTCGCGTTAGCGCAAGAGTACCTTTCAGCTGTTGTGTCGACCACATCGTCCTTGTCAACTCGAATTATTACACTGCCAACAGAATAAGCCTGGCGGTTCTCTTGCAAGTTCAAAGAATTCTCTGGATTCAAATTCTCTTTCACTATGCTCTCCCAATGCGAGATCGCATCGGGGTCCGATTGCCACCAGTGATCGTAGCGGGGTTTGAAATCATCGTCTCGCGGAGCGTAACGACCGTAGTGAGGGCTTTGCTTAAGGAAGGGGTCATCTTGCGGTATATTATCCGGGTTTGTTTCATATGGACTTATGGTCGTCGTAACATCACCATTGGAATCATTTCCCTGACCGACGCCAGTAGATGTGGCCACCCCGCCAGCCATCGCGTAACTTTAAACAAACGCGGCAGTTGCCCTTGGAAGCGATAACAACGATGTTAATCAACACAATCCAAGGGATTATCCTGAACTTTACAGTCAAAACTTAGAGTTAAGGCGAAGGCGCTAGAGTATGTCTGTCGACTATGTGGTATATGTCGGTCTCGTGACTCCCAGTAAAGGCATCATGAAAGCTGGCGCACAGTCGGTAGGGTCAAAGATCACGCAGATATCGAATAGACAGAGAAATGTACCGGAGCGCCCATGTATATTGTACTATTAACGAACTGCTGGGGTAAAGGCGCCGAAAGTGGTGATGATAGCAACGGAGTTTCGGAGATCGATGCGGCGGAGTTGCTGAACGCGCGACTGGGCGACGTGAGGGAGGATGGGGGATCAGCAGGCGGGAGAAATGACCTAAGAATAATCAAATAATATTATCCTACAGGCTCTATGCCAGGAACCGAAAAGCTGTGAGAACAGACGCGCGTGGTCAAACCCCAAGATTGTACCTGTCGTGGAGCTCAGATTACTTTCAGATTTGCAATTCTGCCGCGGAGTTTAGATGAAGGCGGTGTATTTTAACTCCGACGTCTGGCCGCGGTTGATCCATCCACCTCTATAGAGATAGTATGCGTTCATTGTCGCGGTAGCTTGCCACATGCCGTGAAATATTTTGTCAAAACCTCCGGCTTTCCATGACTTATACTCTACTGTTGGAACCGTGAATACCTTTCAATGAAATGCATTGCAAATGGATGTAATTGATCCCAAACAGGGAGTCCGTTCGAGCAGGGGACGTCGTACTATTTCGCAGGATCACCCCTGGTGCAAAATATGCAGGCAGGGGGGTCACGCCGTTGAGCATAACTGACTACTCCGTACATGAGGGCATGTTATCTGATCCACCGCCAAGGAATTGGAAACCAGTGTAATTAGCTACCTGTACAGGCTGGCTTTGAAGCATGCTTATCTGTATTGACTGGTTAAGCTTACGCTGTGTACAGGTAAACTTTTTGAGGTCAACACGCCCTAATGGCAGTCTCATGGCACTGAAGATTACTACGTATAGAAGCTAATGCATGGGGCCAAAGTTAAAAGAAGTGACAGTTAACGGAGTCGAAGCATGAAAGAGTGGGTAAATAGTTACTGGATAGTACAGAGTACTATAATACGGATTAGTCGAGAAAATACCCCAAAAAGGGGGGACAAAAAGTCAGATATATGCTCAGCGATCGTGTATGATACCGAAAGGAGATAGTGTACACTGTATGGATAGTACTAGTTAGTTCCCATGTGAATGGTACCATGTCCCTCAAAAGTGTGTGGGGTATGAATGGATGTCACCCAAAAATCAGGTACCAATTCACACTCTCACTGGACCAATGCTACTTTGCGGTGTTATTTATGGGCGTGAACGATCAACTACTACTATCAGTGCCCCTGCAGAAGGGAATGCGCGAATCAAAGGTCGGGGTAGAGGATGTCGTTCAAAGGCAGTATCCATGATCGGCCCATTCCCGATCGATAGACAGGCGGGGATGGTGATTGGCCCTGGGAACAACACCTGAATCATACCTAGTTCTGGAACGGATGCACAACCGAATCGGAAAGGACGATGGTCCTACGTCTTTGGGTTTAGTTCGCCTATCTTTCCATCTAATCTCGAACCCTTCAATCCCGTTAGCCAAAAACCACCTGATTACTGATATTCCGCTGTCCAACTTATTGCCACTGTTATTACTCTTCTATTCTGTTCTCCTTACCCCCCACTCACCCACCACCTCCATATCCTTGTTCCTTGAGAGGCGATTGCGGAACGAGCGGGCCACCTCATGTCATCATTCGACCCCGTATAGTCTCAGCCGCATCGTTTCTCGCTGCAAGTGAGACTGTCGCTTCCAGGGCTGAGGAGGCAAACACAGATCAATTTCTAATCAACTGCTTTAAGCCGCAAAGCCTATCTGTTTGGAGGTTCTGACGTTTCCCTCCAACGGTTGCCCGTAGCTCCACATTCCGCCGTGAACACCCGTGTACATGGCCCTCCATAGAAGGTAACTGACAGAACCATAAATGACGAGGGCCTCCTAGGGTTCTTTCTGAAACGCCAAGTCGATTGGCTCTGTCGCGATATCAGATTGTTAACATTAATCGTCTTGTTCTGACTTGATTTTCTGCTGCGCCTTCTGGCTACGCTACCGACTAGTCCACGCTCGGACTCGCACGTTGCGGGACCTAAAATAGCACCGAGGCTTTGCATGTTTCACATTGCGCTGGGGTTGCTGCCAGTGATCATACAAAGCCCAACCCCCATAACAACGCATGGTGTACTATTGAAGAATTTTGCAGCTGTAACCCTCGAGTTGCAACCAAAGTACGTACACACGCAATCGTTAGCAGGGTTGACCACGCGGGGGGTTGACAAAACGTCAAACCATGTCAAATGAGCCTGACGACACGGATTCAACCAAGCCTGCGACAGAATGGCAATTCATCGACGCTTCGAACAATAGTCGGAGCAATTTGACCCAGGTCAAGCGCCATGTGATGCAACAATACATGCGCCAAAAACGTGCGTCGGGTCAGTCTAGTAATGATGCCGAACAGACGGCGGTAGAAAGCAACAATGCGCCACGAAAAACTACTCGACGCCCGAGGAAGGCCAGGACTTCTGCAGGGGCCACTGCGCAGAAAGGAAAGGAAGAAGGCCTCAATTGTGAGAGGCAGAAGAATGTGCAGTCTTCATCAGCACAAAAGTCCGATATCAAGGTTGACCCGAATCGAGAGTCGATGGACGATTTGGTGGAAGAAATTGAGCGAGATTTTGTTCCTGGAGCCATGAGCTATACAACTGTTGAGAATGCATCCTTACCGGCCAATTCCTTCTTTCAACTTCAAGGCTATCCAATGTCGCCCTATCTTCTAGACAAATATGTATCTGGAAGTCAGAGTAGTGGCTCGGAGTCTAGCAGTTTATCTCCATGGTCATCCACACCAACATCCCCATCTGATGTCACGCTTTCCCCAAAAACTATCCTCAGTGCAGCACGAACCGACCCTTTCAATACCCTGCCGATGGATCTTGATGCTGAAGGCAAACGGCTATTCGACTTCTACGTTAACGAGATGCCTGCCTGTTCATATGGTAGTCATTTCCGCTCTGCCAAAGCCCACAACTGGTACACGGCAGTCTTTGTCCCAGAGGGCATGAAAGGCGCCGTCACATTCCAAAACACTATTCTCGTACATGCAGCGAATACCTGGGCTTGGGTACGGAACGAGGAGGAGACTGACTATACACTTGTTCACCGCAACCGCGCAATTTCTATGCTCCGAGATCATATGACAAGAAATCCAGGTGATATCTCCGATGTTGCAATTATTGCATGTCTCAGCGCTGCAGGTCTCGAGGACTTTGACCCTCGTCCAGGGCACAAGGAAATTAGCTGGGTACACATGCGGGCTGCGAGGGAGATGATACGTGCCCGAGGAGGACCGGCGGCCTTCGAGAATACACGGTTGGGCATGTTAATCAACTGGCAAGATTATATTCTATCCGGATATGAAACAAATGGGCTGAGCTTCTTCTTCGAGTATAACCCTTTAGTCAAACGGTCTTTCAATGATCAAGGTCCATGGCAAGACTCGGTCACACAAACTCTCAAGCTGCCACCTACCTCCCTTCCTTCAATGCCATTGTTATCGCCTGGAGGTGCTTTGTCACCCTCTGGATCAGTCAGTCCAAGTTATCCGCTAGCATTTCTGTCACCAGAGGATGAAATTAGGCATCAGTGCGACGAGTTCATCGACTTTTTGAAGCGTTGTGAGGAGCTCTCGATATCTTATCAAACTAACCACGCCAGTAAGCCAGCTTTAGTGCGTTACACTGCGTTTCAGGAGACATCGCTTCTGCATAGCATCCTTGCCGCACCACCCGGCCTTCGCTTTACCGCTTCAGGCAACCGTAAACAATTTGTCGCGCGGCTGGTTGCACTGATCATGCTTAATGCAGCTCTTTGGGATTACCGAAACTCCGTGCAGCATAGCGAAACCTTCCTCTGGACATTGGAGCACGCAGTACTAGCGAGTGAGGTGAACACGAGTGGATCGGTCGAAGCACTACTACAGATCATGCTTGAATGCAACGATGGTATACAGATAACGGGCATCTCTTCTACGTCATTGGGCAACCGAGGCATGCCCGATTTCACGCAGTATTCTCCTACCGCTAAGACACAATACGGGCGACCTTGGTTTGCTGGTCGGATGCTCAAGGTTGCGAAGCGACTTAGTCTGAATTCTTGGATGACTGTTCATAACTTCCTCTTTTCATGTTTGACGTTACATGTTGGGACCCCTGTGTGTCTGTGGGAACGTGAACTGCGGCAGGAGATCCTCAGTGCGCCTCTAACGAGCTATATCATGCCTGCTCTGGCAGAGTGACCAGATCGCTCCATTTATCCCTCTGTAGTTTGGCGCATCACTATATTTATCTAGTTATTGGATACCCTTATCTGTTTTCTTGATCCTGAATCTACTTGATACCCAACTTTTATATAGCAAGCGGCTACAACAACCGCAATTCGAATAATTTTTTTTTTTTTAAAAAAAAGAAAAAAAAAAAGAGCACTATTACTTGCATATCTTGGTCTACATATACTACATATTTGGTCTACATATACTATGACATTTTGGCATGGCAGCTAAGCTCCAGATTCTCCCTAGACCAGTCGCTGTCTGCAGGGTTCGAGACAGCAACAGCATCGTTCTTGAGGTCTGGCGCAGGACGTGGAGTATCATCGTGAGAGCAAGGTGAGAAGATATGTTCGACCTCCTCAAGCGACTTGCCAGCGGTTTCAGGGTAAAAGGCCCAAGTGACGGCAGCGGCCACCCAATTAAAAGCGAAGAAGCAATAGAAATAATTAAAGCCCATGCTCGACCTCGCAATTGGCGTACATTGCGCGAAGACTAGGTTCAGACTCCAGTTGGTAGCGGTTGCCAGCGATGAGCCGCGGGCGCGGATCGCTGTCGGGAAGATCTCAGACGGATAGATCCAGGAGATAAGGCCAAGGCTAGTAAAGAAGATAGAGAAGACAAAGAACATGGCGATCGCAGCACGGACAGCATCCGGGTTGGCAGATGGGTCGTGAAAGCCGCCGTTGGCCTGAGCTAAGGCCGCTTCTATGCACATGGTGGCGCCCATGCCGAGCAGGGAAGTGATGAGCAGCTTGCGACGACCCACACGGTCAACGAAAAGCATGAACACTGTATTCCAGAACTGGGCCAGTGCACCCCATATCCCCTGTAGCATGAGCGGGGTTGTGCCCTTCAGTCCTAGCGTCCTATACAGGCCTGGATTGTAGTTTGAGATGATGTTGGTACCTGAGCATTGGGTAAACGCTTGAATACCGCACGCAAGTAACAGGCGATGGCGCCAGCGAGCTTTGCTTACTAGCTCGCGCCAGGAGTGTACGGCGGAACGCCGTTCCTCGGCGATGCTGTCATTGATTTGGGCGATCTCGGCTTCAACCATGTGGATATTAGACTTATCCCGGTTTAAATGTAAGCGAGCAAGGACCTCTCGACCGGCTTCAGTGCGGCCTTTCTCGATCAGCCAGCGCGGAGACTCGGGAAGGACCCAAACACCACAACAGAGGACCACGGCGGGAACAGCCTGGATGGCCAAGGGGAGACGCCAGGTAAGGGCACCGGTATGAAGGGAGCAGCCATATCCAGTCCATTGCTGGCCGGGGTTAGTAAGGCAACCCCAAAAGCTATACAGATGAAAGAGAGCGATATGACATACAGCGACAACAAAGCCCATCCCAATCATCCATTGTTGCATGGAGCCCAAAAAGCCGCGTATCCGGGGAGGAGAAACCTCACTCTAAAAAGAGTCAGCATAGCTCAAGTGCAATGCGACACCGAAAACGGGAAAGACGTACACAGTAAACAGGAATTGCGGACGACATCAAGCCCACAGCCAAACCTGCAATCAATCGGCCTGCAATGAGCATGGCGACAGTGACGGCACCAGCTTGCAATGCTGCACCCAAGCTTCCCAGAAGGCCTCCAACGAAGATGACGGGACGCCGTCCATATGGATCAGAGATGTATGAGACCAGAACGGAACCTAGAATCGCGCCCCCTAAATTCCAGTTAGAAGGTGTTTGGCGTCCGAACATCATTTGTAGGTGAGCCTATACCATTGTAAGAAGCGACTATACCACCCGTTGCGGCATCAGAGGGGTGATGAAAGCGATTCTGAAAATCCTCTTGATCAAGGGTGGAGGAAATCACGCCGGAATCATAGCCGAAAAGAAAGGATCCCAGAGTTGCGAAGACGCAGCAAAGGGTGACAAGATAGTAAGCCATCGGGCAAAGCCTGGACTGGTAAGTGATGTGCTCAGCGTTCGACTGCAGGTGCTATGGTATCTATAGTAAGGACCCCATTCGTGTATTCCACTGCCTTCTTGTATATTTCCATAGGTGATTTCCAACGGCTGATGAAGTTCTTGATAATGGGGAAAGGTACTTTTTTTTTGACGTTCCGTATTGGTGGCGATGTCAGAAAGGAGGAAGAATGCCAAGGCAATGCATCAGTCAATGCCACTGCTAGTTAAATAGGAGCAGTCGAGTTGATTGAGAGCGGAACAACACCCTCATTCCCAATGGTGAACATGGGGGAAGCAGTAGAAGAGGATTGAAATGTGTTTGGTATTATCCTGGGTGAAGATGTATGGAATACTTCAAGGTATGTACAGGAGGTCCAAACATCCTGAGGATTTGAAATCCGCCGTAACAAAAGGATAAGGTTAGTTAGCTTTCTGAGGTAATGTAATTCTCGCCTGACAGAAGTGGAAAGCAACCGGGACTGCCTGAGGCGCCATGGCATTCATTACCCTAGCATTTCTTCAGCCTTACCTAAAAATTGGAATTTGGAACAAGTTTCTCACTGACGTATAGAAAGGCTTTCCGAGACCTCCAAAGCCGGCTCCGGCGCTAGTCCCGAAAGGGCGGGGACTGGCAGGGCAAAGGATTCGAAAGGATCGAATCGCCGTCAGCCGCTATCAGATCGCCGAGGCCAAGTTTTTTCTACTGTTCCACTAGTTGATGGGGTTTGGTCGGCTCAGACCCCGACAATTACCTCAATCCCGCTAATGAGTGATTATTTCGTCCCTCCCTCACACTGGTTGCTGTTTTCTTTCTCACGCGGTCCTTGACTCCTTTGCATATTTTTCCTTCCGTGCTGCTTTCTAGACACGTTCTGGTCGCTTCCGCCAGTGGATCTCCTGGTCTTGGAAACTTGACTTCTCTCGTCACTAAGTTTGTTGTGTTCCTTTTGCTCTTCCTGAGCTCATTTTCTCCACATTTTCCAGCCTAACTTTTTCCTCTTTCAATTTACCAAGACAGTCCCCAATTAAAATCGGACTACCGTTTAGGTAAAGCAAGGTTTCTAAAACAAAAAAAGAAATAAGGAAGAACAAAAACCTTCCAGAACTTAAAGCGACAGCTATTATCAATTTGATCGCGACGACCCCGCTGCTCCCTGGTCTTGGTACTTTTCTGAGTCTGGTACAAGGTCATCATTGTGAACCTCCGCGGACATTATTTGACTCATCCCAGAACGCAATTATTAATTTTCACAGATCTCCTATAACTTCAGCACAGCCGCTGTCGGATAATTATTTTCAAGGAAAAGGAATACACAACCACAGAAGCACCAAAAAAAAAAAAAAAGAAAAGAAAAAAGAAAAGAGCGTTTTTCTAGCCCATTGATTGGATCCCACTTGCGATCCGTCGGAAAAACGAATCGCACCGTCGTCATTCCCTCCTACTGCTCGATGAACCTGTGAGAAACGTCAATTCCACCCTCGTGGACGATAACGGTCGGATCGCCACGCGGGCATTGCTCCTTGCTGATCAAATTAGTCTCGCGCTTCTTTCGTTCTCTCGGGACGCCCAGAACATTTTCCTGATTCCACAAACGCTATTCAATCGGAGCTCTCTCCCTTGCATGCTTCAGCGCCGACCGCCTTAATCGATCCCCGACCCCTGGACTGAATAATCGCGCGCGCCATGGGTACTCCGTCCAGCGCTTTCCATACCGCGTCGGCGGATAATGCGACGGACGATGATCCATCGGGCCCTTCTGACTCGGTATTCTACCATGATGATGCAGACCCCTCTTCTCTACAGTCATCGCACGACCCAGATGGCTCAAAGCCAGCCAAAGACTCCATCCCCATGCAGAAGAGGCGCCGTGTAACCCGAGCTTGCGACGAATGTCGGCGAAAAAAGATCAAATGTGATGGGAAACAACCATGTACTCATTGTACCGTATACAGTTATGGTCAGTAATTCCCCTTCATGTTCTCTCCAATCCTTGTCTAGTTGGCACGTTACTTACTCCCCGTCCGTAGAATGTACCTATGACCAACCGTCGAATCGTCGCCGTAATCCGGCCCCTCAGTATGTGGAAGCCCTCGAAGCCCGTCTACACAAGGCCGAGGCTCTCCTCCGAGTCGTTCTTCCCGACATCAATCTGGACGATCCCCGGTTCGATGAGCATGCTACCGAACAAATGCTAGCCGCCGTCAAGCGCGAGAAACATCAGCCACAGCAACCGCCCGTGACCACCAACGGCTCGAATCCCTCGACCGTTGCGACGGGCCCAGCGGATGCTCCATCAGATAACTGTTGCGGTGAAGAATCTCTACTCGAATCGATGGTGGATAATTCCGGCTATCTGGACCTGGACGATCAGGGTCACTGGGATTATCATGGGCACACCTCCGGCATCACATTCCTCCGACGACTTCGAAAGCAATTGGGTGCCGTTGACATCTCAGCGCCGGCCTTGCGGTCGCGACCCATCTCACAGATGTTGGACAGTCCCAAGTCGGCATCGGAGTCCCCGCAGGATGCATCGCTGCCCCCCACTCATGACCTGCCGTCACGCGGTGTGGCACGACGTCTGTGTCACAATGCCTTGGAAGATGGCTGTTCTCTGATGCGATTTGTTCACGAACCTTCCTTTTACGCCATGCTAGATCGAATTTACGATACCCTGCCTGAACAGTATACCAACGAGGAGCATGCTTTTCTACCACTCCTCTACATTGTGATGGCTGTCGGTTGTTTGTTCTCGGATGACGGGACTGGTACCCTGGATCTCTCTGGTTATGAAAGCGCCATCGGCCAAGGGTATGTCTATCCTTGGCGCTAAAGTTATATATTCGCTAACTCCAGCCAGGTTTCAATACTTCAAAGCCGGGCGGCAGCTCTTAGAGATCACTGACTGCCGCGACCTGACCTCTCTTCAGACAATTTGCTTCATGGTATTGTTCTTGCAATCATCTGCCAAGCTGAGCACCTGTTATTCATATGTCGGCATTGCCCTTCGCTCTGCCCTACGCCTGGGCCTGCACCGCTCGGTATCAGCCAACTTTAACCCCCTCGAACAAGAGCTGCGGAAACGTATCTTTTGGGTTATTCGGAAGATGGACGTCTATGTCAGCACGCTTTTGGGGCTACCCCAGATGCTAAGTGATGATGACATCGACCAGGAATACCCAATGTCGATCGACGGCGAGTTCATCACTTCAGATGGCATCCTGCCCACACCAACGGATTATACGCCACTCATGGCAGGTGCCAATGCGCACACACGACTTTCAAGCATTATGCTGAAAGTGGTGAAATATATCTATCCGGTTAAAAACGCCCAGCACCGATCCAAGTCAGATCAACGGTATGTTGTAAGTCATTCCAAGATCCGGGAGATTGAGCGGGATCTTCAGGCTTGGATGGAGGAACTACCGGCGGCTTTGCGACCGGGGACCGAAGTGTCCCCTCAACTCGAGAGGTATATTGGATTCTCTCTACCCCTTTGTGGGACCAAAACTAACTTGTTGTAGGGTACGGCAGTTGCTGCGCATCAGCTATGCCCATGTGCAAGTGGTCATGTACCGCCCTTTCTTGCACTATGTCTCGAGTGGCTCTCAAGCCCGGGGCGTCGATCGGCGATCCTACGCCTGTGCTGCTGCATGCGTTAGCGTTTCCCGGAATATCGTCCATATAACCACTGGTATGCATAAGAGAGGTCTGCTTAATGGGTCCTACTGGTTTACCATGTATACCACCTACTTTGCTATCCTATCCTTGCTGTTCTTTGTGCTCGAAAATCCCGACTCTCCCACAGCCAAAGACGGCGTGTTGAAGGATGCCATGGAAGGCAAGAACACTTTGGCAGGCCTGGCAAAGAAGAGCTTGGCGGCGGATCGGTGCTCCCAAAGCCTCATTTGCCTTTTCAAGAGTCTTCCGGAATTATTAAAGAACCGTCAGAGCAAGGTCAACCCGGTGAATCTAAAGCGCCCTGCCCCGTCTAGTAGCAGCAAACTAGGTAATGCTAAAAGTCCTACGGCCCCACCCGCGATGCCTCCTCCGCAGAGAGCGAGCACATTCCCTATTCAATTATTGAACAGGTCAACCAAAGAGGCCAGTAATATGCCCAAAAGCCTAGACGACAACCCTCCCCGCCATAGCCGATCAAATTCTCGTCCAGCGAACACTCCACCCCCCTGGTTTTCATCCACGCCCGAACCGCCATTGGAAACCATATCAACCCCGTCCGAGACACAGGCAACCGAGTCCATCGCTGCCTCATCCAACACATCTCCCCTGCCAATGTCCGTGACCACGCAGGACATGCCGACGAGTCCATTTGTCACCCAGCAGCTCACAAATCCAACCAACCTTCCTGATCTGATGCCCATCATGTTTCCCTCTGATGATCCTTTTGCCTACCCGACCCAGCCGATGTCTACCTTGGAGAATGACCATTTCCGACAGGACGGTGGAGCCATGCAATTCGGGCGGGATCTCGCGACACAGCGATCGGCACCGTCTTCGACTGATCCCACGAACGCTATCGGGGTTTCTACACCGACTCTAGATGGTCTAGGCAACTTTCCCTTGTTTTCCAACAACAACACCCCAACACTCATGAATGCTGCTCTCCCTATGCGGTTAGCAAACCCTTCTTCTGTGAGCCAGTCGCGGTTACAGTCGCCTGTTTCACACGCATCCACCCCGGCGAGTGGGGAGGCAGTCAACAGTCCCGATCTGGTATCTCTCCCGAACAACAACTTCATGTGGCAGGGTTACAACTTTCAGCCTCAAAACTTCCCCACGGAGCAGTCGACGCAGCCGTCGATGCCATCAGGGAATGTGCAGAACTTCGGCATGGGCGTCGAGGACAATTCCATGGGGATGGGCATTGATTTAGGGATCTCGCTGGACGATATCTTTGGGAACCCCGATGCGTGCCGGACCGGCAACGGACTTCCCAGCGACGATTGGATCCAATGGATGAATGTCGGAAATTGATTTGGTATGATGCCTTTTTTTTGCTATTCCACGAAGTTAATGTAACGAGCAATGGAGTACGGATATTGATGCGGCGTTTGCGGGTTTCGTGTAGTTAATGAGTATCATTATCCGTATATAGATGAAATGTTCATGTTGATTTGTACATAACAGGCTCTCGGGGTATAGAAGTGACTATTTAGCAGAAGATCTATATATATTTATCTATATAGTATGATACACGTATAGTACAAGAACTCCACCACCTCTATCCAAGACAACAACCCAATAAAATATATTAGGAAAAAAATGAAAAGAAAAAGAAAAAGAAGAAGAGCATCAGACCGTCTTCCTTCTCGGCGACTGATACCAACTCCAAATATTCAACCCAACCTTCGTTCCCTCCGTCACCGGAAATGCCGCATGCCACGTCTCCAAATACCCACTTCCATCCGGCCTCAAATTCTCCCAAAAGATCGCATTCCCCTTCAACGGCCGAAACGTAACCCCTTCCGCCTCACTCTCACACTCCATAAATCGACACCACTTCTCATCCCTCGGCCTCTTGAACCGGGGAAAGTTCGTCCCACCGCCGGTACACTCGTCCCCGAGATACACCATGAACGTACTGGCGCGGTCGCCGCCACGCGCGCTCGAGCCCATCCAGTCATAGTGGTGCCGGTAGTGGCCGGAGGCGTTGTACCGCTGGGCCCACATGCGCTCGATGTACAGATGCGGTTGCCAGCCTTGGAAGGCCTTTGCACGGTTCTCAAGACAACGGACTGTGTTGGTGCGGGCGAGGAGGGCGCGGTCGGAGAGTCGCGTATCGGGGTCAAGTCTTTCTGTTGTGCCGTCGTAGATTATGGAGGGGGTGTAGGTTTCTTGGCTTTCTTGTTGATGGTTGTTAGTAACCTTTTATTTTTTTTGCTTTTCGTTTATCCTAGTCATTGTTGTGCTATGTGTGTGGGTAGGTACGGAATAGATGGATTGCGCTTGCGCAATGGGGTTGGTTGAACTCACCCGAGTTCAACGAGGTGGTCGGCTTCCTCGGAACTGAGGAAATCCTCGATATAAATTACCAATGGGTCGCGACGGAGGAGATGGACCCGGTAATTGTCCGGGGGACAGGTAGGCTCAATGCCATCGTCTAGACTGAAGAAGGTGTCATTTAGGATTGGGCCTTGGTGGTCGAAGGCGAGGTCTTCTTCGGAGGGGGAAAAGAGTTGGCGGAGGGCCGGGGCAATAAGAAAGATGTAGATTGGGATGAGGTAGAAGAGGGAGCCGAGAATTGTTGAGAGTTTTAGCATGCTTTCCTGGTTAGAGAGATATATGTACTATGTATACACATGGAGAGGGAAAAGATGTTGTTTTAGGAGATCTGGGAAGGGTTTAGTTAGTTGATCGATATACTTATTCAGCAGAAGCCCAGAATGCGAGCCCGGCTGATCGCGGAATTGCTTGTTTGGTTTTAGCGTGTGAGAGTGGGACGTCGTACTAGACCGGATGAGGCAAGTATCTTCTATCGCTGATCAACTACTTTCTGTACGCAAGTCCTTAATACCCCTCCCGACATCATTGTGGTTGGCTTGGGGATCATGATAGCATGTAACAGTATCTCCTTGGGGCAGCCGACTAGAACTAAGGTCATATACTGAGGTATCCCAGTAGATCTGTATTGATAGTTTGGCTTACATATTTTGGCCTCGTCCATGATGCCTTCCCCAAAAGTAATAGGGTATATTATAGATTAGACAGCTTTACTCTATAGTATACACTTTAGAGACCGTATAGAGATTGGCATATCAGAAGAATTCAGGAGCGAGCGGCGCGGTTAGTATATGTTCAATGAGTGCCCACAGAAGAATGATATATTGCTCTTATAGAAGCAAGGTAGCTGTATGGGGTAATCGGGTAAGAATTGTAGAAAAACAATTCAAATTATACTTTGTTTATACAGAAATCATGAATAGCAACGCTTCATGTTACTGTGATGATATGATTCCATCGTTTTTCTGTAGAATGATTGGCTTACGAACCTGCCAGATCTCTATCAACTCTGCCGACAAACCTGTCCAACTGCCAGTATTGTCGATTGAACACCGTAATTAGAAAACTATAAACTCAGTGGTATAGAAAGAGCAAGGTATCTGGCACACTCATTCATCTCCATAGAGGTCTCCATCCATCTTCGGCGCCTAAAATGCACCCAACATGGATAGGCATCCCCATTCTCAATCTCAGGCACCAACTGAGACAGTCAGAACAAGATCTTTGGAAGATCACGTTAAAGCAACGGCAAACTGGTCTCCTGATATCACCGTCGAACTATATCCTGTCAAGCTCAGGATGTGATTGGGACTTCGTTTACATCGAGAGCGTCATAGCAGTATCAAAATAAGCGCCACTAAACCCTATTGTCCACAAATAACAACTTTGTTGCTGTTTTCCCCACTCAATATCTGAGGTATTAAAGTGAGAGTTGTCTAAGTTGTATTTCCTTCCAGTTTTAACCAGCCGTATTTCATCTTTTTACTTGGTTTGTTTGTGTTCCTTTCATCTCGAGGCAGCGCCTCCCCCTCCACGACAGCTCACCACAGACCAAAGAACTGAAGACTAACTACCACAGAGCCCGAGATCACATTTCAAATCACAATGCCGACTCCGACGGCCGATCCAGAATTTCTCCTTCCCGATCCTACAGTTCAACAGCGGCGGCTGCAAAATACGACTCAAAACCAGACTGCAGCCTCGAGATTGCAGGATGCCTCTCGCTCGGCCGGGGAATCCCGAAAAGAGGACCTGACTTCGGGGATGACGCTACAGGAGTTCCTTCAGACTACAATGGATAAAGATGGAAATCCTGTGCCGGACCCAAATGCTTTCACGGATGGCGCCAAGATGCAGAAAGGCAGTCGAGCGCTGGACGAGGCGGATCTGGTCGATGCCGCTTGGAGTGCTTTTGATTAAGGTGGAGTTTTTGGCATATATCACTACGATGGTTTAAAAGCGTGTCATGATGAAGCATCCAATCTTTGTACATCATCGTTATGATCCGTTACGCTCATTAGAATGATCGGTTTCAATGTTACTTCCTTCTCTCTCGTCTCGTGTCTGGTAGTCTATTATGAGTTAAGGCTGCAACACTGTTAGTTTAAATAGTGTATATCAGGATGTCCTGGCCAAGAATAATGTCTTTGCATACTCTTCACCTTACACCAAAAACCCTAGAGATCACCGGAATAGGTAGTCCAGGGGCGCAAAAGCGAGAGGGCCTTCAGGGTCAAGGCATTGTCCTTGGGACAGTAGCAAACAAACGTAGGCGAGACCAACCCCACAGCTCGATCGTCACAGATGTGACATCAATTGTGGAGTAGCCCCTCTTCCTCTGGTTTCACTGGTCGCTACAATAATTCCGACAACCCTAACACGACTTTGAGATTGAGTGGATCGGCCCATGTCAGCTTTGCGTACCGATGATATAAACGCGCCTTCCGCACGCCACAAGCGTTCTGCTGGAAGTTGAGAAATTAATATCACGTGGAATAGTTGACACTGAGGTTCCGCTTCATGAAAGCATCCGATACTGTGTATCTCGGCGGGTGTGGTTTCGATGCCCTAATTAGCATTATGATGTACTGGGTTCGTCTCCCACCTATTAAAGATGGTAATATGACCATCCCGTCCATATTGGACCAGACCATGCCATTCGTTTCATACACTACAAAGTAGAATTGGTTATATAATGCGTCTCTGCGGGCTTACCGATCGGCCGATTCTCGGACTGCCTCGAGCTTCCATGTTGATGACGTCAAGTCTAGAATTCGAGAGACTCTGAAGATTGCTAACAGAGAAATAGTTCATATACACAAATAGCCCCGAGCTCTATTCGTAGTCATCCAACTGTTTCTGATACTCACTACTATCCTTGATAAACACATATACGCCTATGTCAGCCAGACATGCCAGACAACGTAAAAGTAGTCGTAGTCGGTGACGAGGGCGTGGGCAAATCAGCACTCATTCTACGAGTAAGTAAAGTACCAATCCATCGAACCCCCAAAAGCCAACTTACCAGTAACCAACACGCTCAAGCTCTGCTTCGACCATTTTTCCAACACACATGAAGCCACAGCGGACGATAGTATCCGCAAATCCACCGTAGTCGACGGTAAAGAGTGCGAACTCGATATCATAGACACCGCCGGTCGAGAGCAGTACGCCACGCTAATCGAGGAATGGATTCGACAGGGCGAAGTCTTCGTTTTGGTTTTCGATGTCGCATCCCAGGAATCGTTCACTCATGTTCGAAAATACTACGATCAGGTCCGAAAGATCAAGGAGGTTGTAGATGACCACTCGATAAACCCACCTGCTACGTATCCAGGCCCGCCGTATTTTGCGCCCTTGATCTTAGTCGGGAATAAGAGTGACCTGCAACATGAGCGAACTGTGTCGGAATCCGAGGGCATGGGGCTCGCTAAAGAGTTGTGCGGCGAGTATGTTGAGGCTTCTGCTAGGGATAATGTTAATGTTGAGGCGGCGTTCAATCAGGCAGTTCGAAAGATTCGGGCGCGTCGATATGAGGCTGATCATTCGCTTTTCTCGCACGCGGATGGGGCTGCAACGACGACGAAGCGGTATAGGCCGTTTCATCGGAGGCATCCTAGTGGCTGTCATTGTGTTATCCTATGATGATGGGGGTGGGTATCATTTTTAGATATCATTAAAGATTCATGCGTTTTGAGGTTGGTGTACTCTGAGTTCTAGATGGAAATTCCCCCAGCATCAGGTATATGTGCTGGCCAAATCCCTGGGATATGGAATCTTTACGTGTCATGTCCACTTTTTCCTTTTACGTATTTGTATGATATTATGATCCCTTACTATCAAGATAGTATAGACGAACGAACAGATACCGAGAGGATGATGTTAGATACCGTTCATTGTCTACTAGCTAATATTATTATATATATATATCTGTTTAGGCTTGTTCACGAGTTGGCGGATACGACGAATATAGCATAAGTGCTTAAGAGTTGGAGTCTATATAAAAGGTATGCGAATTATATATCTTAGGAGATACAACCTATTGGTCGATATTCTTGTCTCCCGTCAAATCAACCCAACATAAAGCAGCAATCAACACCCCCCGAAACAGCATGAAACGCGCTCGAACAGGGTGTAAAAGTTTCTATAAGGAAAGTGTACTACGTAGTACTCCTACATTGTGTATGGAGTAAAAGTGCGGGGAAAAGGCTCGTAAGTTCTCGTATACGAAGTGCAAGCGGAGGACATCTATGGATGGTGTATAATATATTGAGAACTAATGCACGTACTAAAATATTATAACGTTTAGACTAATAAGGACTGGCCGAGAGCCACTAGATATTTAATTGGCTAGATTTGAAAGTAAAACGGCGCTGCTAATCGGGATATTAGTCCCCAGTGTAATGTTACTCCACTGCTTAAATATATAGTATTTTCCTTTTATTTTTTTCTATGTTTACGCCTTGAATTGCTGTTTTTTTTTATCTTTATTTTTATGTATTTTTCTACGCTAGCCAGAAAGTCCGTAGGAGTGGAACGGACCTGACAGAAGCGAAGTAGATAGCATAGTATCTTTACTAGGACCGAAACTGAGTGACGAATTCGGTATAGAAGGTTTCCTACTTAAGTAACTTGGTCATTTCATGCGAGAAAAATCCCTCAAGAACAGCCTTATGTGTTTTACTGCGGTGAAGACTGTTCGTCCATTCCGTTTGCCCAGCAAGAATTGCAAGCTAGTAGGGATTTCGGTCGCTAAGCTATTGTAGTACACTAAGATCGGTGGAATCGGCCTGTATTAGGATAAGTATCGAGTATGGACTGCCGTTGACGGCGCCTTCTACCTGAGTCTTAGTTAGTAAAAGGTTAGTCACTCGGTGTTGCAAAATTTGTGCTGTATGTATTTATGTACTACTATGGGCCAACGGTACTGTACAATAGGTCGATACGTGTATTTCACACAGATTTTGGTAACGATGTATGTACCCCTGTTCCAGTCTCGAAATGGAATGGACAGGGAGGCATTCCGAAGGTTAGTTTTGATAGACAACCAAAGATTATGAGATGAGAGGTTTCAACTCAGTCTGTATCTCGGTGAACGAGGTGACTGCCATACCGTTTCGGGGAGATAGCTTGAGGAAAAAAAGTGGACTCAAGGACTAGATAAGGATGGGGACATTCGGAGGATGCACCTGTGTTGGAAAGCCCATCTGAATTGATAACCGTTCCTCTTCCAGACGCACGTGGGTAGTACCCCAACTCATCCTGGATCGAATTCCGTACCTCAACCTCTGAATTGGAATCTCTTGGCAAACGCTCTTTCAATAGACAACCACTTGACAAAGATGAATGGTGTGCTTATGCAACTTTATGGACGAGAAAGAGGTTGTTGGTGGGCGTCGAACTATTGGCTAGCCCTGTTCTTTGTTTGATTTCCTTTCCCCCTTCTTGTTTCTTCGGCTCGTAAAAGGTCGCGTTCAGTCCCCTTTCCATACAGTTGGACCTCCCCTGGGATAAAGTTTAGCAGCCGTTCAAGAACCTCAAAATGCCACAAAGCCAAGGCAGCAAGATTATTAAGTCTCGCGCCAAGTATGACAGTCTCGATTCATCATCTTGGCCACTCCCAAGACTTTCACGGAGCGGGAGACCAAGACAGGGAGGTGCCAAGAGAGTATCCGTGGCTACCACTGAAGACCAGGACTTCTGAAAAAGCACTCTTGGCCCGGTTATGTTCGAAAATGAGGTAATTTAGAAATCGGCTCCAGGCTCGTTGCCGGTTCCTTTGAGAAGGCCAATCGTGGTTTGAATTTCAGGTAACCGCTCGTGATCTCGTTTAAATTTCCCCGAGGACTGACCCAATCAGGTTGGCGAGACCTCCATCTTTCCAGGGTCTGATTGGGGCTAACCCAGCACTTTCCATTCATGTGTAAGCGGGGCCCGAGGGTCGCAGGTCTCCGGTAATGATGTTGTATGGTACGTTTCAGGTCGGCTACCGATTGAAGTCCCCTTGGTGACATGTGGACACCATATTGGGGAATAATATTGAGTTAGTACGGTGCGTTGGATGTATCATCCTGAGAAAGGAATTCATCATGCTAGGTTTTATTTTATTTTCTCTTTTCCCCCCTTGCTTTACCAATTGTTCTGCGAAAGAATAGAACAAGGAAAAAAAGTGGTGGCCTAATTTTCCTGCACGTGCGGTATCGTACCAGACTAATACGGGATGTAAGGAGCGCCACAGCCCCGCATCATTCTTGGCCCGGTCTTGTCGTCTTGTCCCTGTCCTCCGCCGGGCTGTGCAAGCGGTCTTTTCTGGGCAAGGCTCGGCTCCGGATGTCCGCACAGGACAAGAACCCAAGCCTTCCCCCTCTTGCTTCCAAGACTTCCTCTCTTCTTATCTCTCCCCATATTTCCCTCCCCCTGACTTGTCCTGTCTGTCTTTTTCCCAATCTTCCCTTCACTCCCCTTCTTTTATCATATCACCTGGTGTTTTCACAACTGTTTCTATATTCGGTAACATACGCGTGTTGCATTGGTAGTTGTTGTCATTGCCAACTCATCGCGTCTTACCTTCTCTCCCCATCCCTGATCTTCCTTATTAGCCAGAAGTCCCTTAGCTTGGACATCTTTGGTGGACTATCGAGGGAAATCTCACTTGGTCTGACTTGTATTGAGTCCTTTCACGACGACTTCCGCTCCCAAGAAAGGGACAAGAAATTGTCTTGGCAATGTCGGAACCCCAAGACACCACTTCCCCTTCGACTGCGGCTGCTCCTATTGCCGCGTCGACTACACAGGAGCAACCCCAAACCCAGTCGCCGCCTCAAGTCTCCGCTACCACGACATCCTCGGTGACGGCAACCGCAGCCGCAGCGACCGCAGCTGTAGCATCTCCCCCTGTTAATGGTGCTTCGCGCCCGGCCGAAGAGTTGTCTTGTCTTTGGCAAGGATGTGCTGAGAAGTGTCCTACCCCAGAATCCCTCTATGTAAGCTCACCGTGGTCCCATATCTCCTGCGCTCATCGTCACCCCACACAGCAGGCATTGTTGCCACTTGTCCTTTCGGCATATCACATAGGAGCCCCTCGAGCGTTCGCTTTCTGAATGTAGCTGATCATTTTACAGGAGCATGTCTGCGAACGCCATGTAGGTCGCAAGAGCACAAATAACCTCAACTTGACCTGCCAATGGGGCAGTTGCCGAACTACCACCGTCAAGCGCGACCATATCACCTCGCATATCCGAGTACATGTGCCCTTAAAACCTCACAAGTGTGACTTCTGTGGAAAGGCCTTCAAGCGCCCTCAGGACTTGAAGAAACATGTCAAGACGCATGCAGATGATTCGGTTCTGGTTCGGTCACCTGAACCGGGTTCCCGGAACCCAGATATAATGTTTGGAGGTAACCCAGCAAAAGGTGTGTTCCATGTCTCTAGCTGTATCTGCTGCGTAACTGACCTTATGGAGCTCTAGGCTATGCTACAGCTACGCATTACTTCGAACCCGCCTTGAACCCTGTCCCCAGCCAGGGTTATGCTCACGGAGCGCCTCAGTACTATCAATCTCATCATCCACCTCAACCAGCGAACCCGTCTTACGGTAACGTCTACTATGCGCTAAACCATGGACATGAGGCCGGCCACGCATCATACGAGTCGAAAAAGCGTGGATATGATGCCCTGAACGAGTTCTTCGGTGACCTTAAGCGCCGCCAGTTCGATCCAAACTCTTACGCCGCGGTTGGGCAACGCCTACTTGGTTTACAAAGCCTGTCTCTCCCCATTCTCAGCGGCGGCCCACTCCCTGAATATCAACCCATGCCTGCGCCTGTGGCCGTAGGTGGCGGAGGCTACAGCCCTGGTGGCCATCCTCCCGCTCCCGCCTATCATCTCCCTCCCATGAGTAACGTCCGTACCAAGAACGACCTGATCAACATCGATCAGTTCTTGCAGCAAATGCAGGATACTATCTATGAGAATGACGATAATGTGGCAGCTGCCGGTGTTGCTCAACCGGGTGCCCACTACGTTCATGGCGGCATGAGTTATCGCACCACCCACTCGCCACCCAGTCAGCTGCCTCCAAGCCATGCTACGGCCACCACTTCCGCAGGCCCCATTTTGGCCAATCCTGCGGCCCATTCGCCTACTGGAACACCCGCACTCACACCACCCTCGAGTGCACAATCGTATACCTCTGGTCGGTCACCCATTTCCTTGCCCTCAACAAGCCGGGTATCTCCCCCTCATCATGAAGGCGGCTCAAGCATGTACCCTCGCCTGCCATCAGCTACTATGCCTGACAGCATGACCGCTGGCTACCCGACCACATCAAGCGCAGCTCCTCCATCCACCCTTGGTGGTATCTTTGACCATGATGATCGTCGCCGATATACTGGTGGCACCTTGCAACGCGCAAGACCAGAGGAGCGTCATCTACCTGAGCCGATGGATCTGTCTCATGATAACAAGGACGACGGAGAGCGGACACCACCTGCCAAGCCGCGTCAAGCACCCTCATCACCCGGTCGCATCTCCGCTAGCTTGATTGACCCTGCTCTTTCGGGTTCGGCAAACGAAGCAGAGACAATGCGGACGGCCCAAGCCGCGACTGAGGTCGCTGAGCGGTCAGATGTGCAGTGGGTTGAAAAAGTCCGCCTTATCGAGTACCTGCGCAATTACATTGCATCTCGTCTCGAGCGGGGTGAATATGCTGGCGATCCAGGCATGACTCGTGAGTCGCGCACACCGGAGGCTGGACCTGATGGCCACATGGAAGGTGTGGAGAGTGAGCCCGTTTCTCATCATGCCAAGTCTGAGTCTCCGGTGAAACCTGAGGCGGGAGGTGATACGGTGATGTACCCGACACTACGGGGAGTCGATGAGGATGGTGATTCTAAGATGCCTAATTAAGCGATATTCTTCAATTTGCTCTGTTTGCATTCCCCTGGTCTGTTACTCTACTGTTGCGCATCCTTTTCTTTACGGCTCGTTACGAAACCGTTGTGGGAGTTTGTCTTATCTTTCTTTGCCCTGAATTGTGGATCGTGAACTATCGAATACCTACTATTTTTGTAACCGCCGGTCGTGTATTTGTTTTTGTAAGGACGTTTGGTTCGAACATTTCTGTTCTTGTATAGTGGGGAGTTTTCGAATGCAAAGGATAGGAATTGGGTACAATTTATTGTTCATTTTATTTTACTTTTTTCCTAACTCATATTTTCCTCCCCAGACTGGGGCATTTATTTCTTAAAGTTTGGTCGACCTGCGAGGAAGAGATGAAGAATGAGGGTGACTTAGACTATGATTGGTCAGGCTGCGCAGGAAGCCTTTGGTTCCAGCCCGATGCATGAAATAAATACTAGGGAAAAGTAAATGCAACCGTTTGCAACCAAACCATGTTTATTTGGTGACAACAGACTACATTTGGTTATAATGCCCTTTGTTCTGAGATAGACATATAGGGGGTGGTGGAAGGTAATAATTATGTAGGGAAGGTTCATGATGTTACCGTGCCTTTCTAGAAACATTCAATGAAAATTTATCGAATTAAATTTTCAATAAAAAAAATTTTTTTTTCTGATGCAGATCAAAGACATTCCAGTGGGCAGGCGCTAAACTGTAGACGGGGAGAATGACGCAAACAGAAGCATGGATTCACAGTCCAGGATTGGCGGTTGACCATCACGAGTACCGTTAAAGTGGAATTCGAGAATGCTGAGTTCTGATTGCCCGATCCGGTATTTTCCCTGCTGGTCAAAATTCGGTTCGGTTGGATGCATCACACGAGGAGAGTGGAGGAAGAATTAAGCAGCGTTTGGTTTGCTTGTTGACCCATGATTAACACTTCCCGAGGGCTCCGTATCGCATACTATGTGGGTACAACTCTTCCCTAGAATTGAGTAATTTTACTAAACCAGTAATCGATTGAATAGCTGGGCTTGTCGCAGGGATGGATGCATGAGTAGTAGTAGTAAGATCTTAGGGCTAGGCTGCTCGGGTGATTTAGTAAGGGAGGAAGTATGAACTTCGTAGTACTTTGGACAAGGGAGTATGCTGCTCAAAGGGGGAGAAACATGCGAAGGATCTCTGCAAATCCTGCAACCGGGGGCTCCTCATTTGATTCTTCATGGGATCTTAGGGAATTTTGCCGGGTCTTTGTCTCGCTTTTATTCCCCATAATAGCTCTATTTTCAGGGCCTGCGGTTCTTCTTTTCCTTCAGTCTGGGTCGGTCTCCACTGTCTGTTTACGGCAGCGGGGATCTCATCCATTCGAGGTCCACGAAGGGTAGTATTGGGGATCCCCAGTTACTTTTTATAAATATTCAATATTAAAAGGTTGGGTGAGCCGAGAAATCAACTGGGGAAGATTGTTGAACTCTTTCTCCATTCATTGTTGTGAGACAAAGAGACAGAAAGAGAGGGTGTGTATGTTTGGGTCTGGATCTACTACTGACTGTCATTTCCAGAGGAGACTCTGATAAAGAGTACTAATAAGACTAGACGATCCGTCAACAACCGACCTTTGACTTCCCCACACGGAAGCGGTCACGCCCCAAACACTGGCGCGCGTTATCGTCATCGTTGCTCTTTTCTTTCTTTTCCCACTTTCTTTCAAAGACGTCGTATCTTCTTCGCTTCCAACAACAAGCCCTTTGTCGCTCCACCCCGCTTCAACCCCCCGTGCGACTCCCTGGAAATCTCAACCAGACCACCCTTGATCGTCCTTACACATTATCTCGACAACCGCCAAAAAAAAAAATCCCGTGGCTGAATAATAATAAGCCAGCCACGCCCAGATCGCGTCTTGCGCGGTGGCAAACGATCCTTTGGTTCTTACCCTCTCGAACACCCCGGTTCTAAGTTTTCCTTTGCCCTCTTTGGGTCATCTGTCTGCCGTCCTCGCTTCGCCTTCTTAAAAACCTCTTCCTACGTCAATCGTTTCTGTTTGCTCGCTTGGCGCAGAAATTCGTGAATTATATGGGCCCGTGAATCGCGCACAGAAAGTCAACAACATATCTTAGATCGAATATTAGCGATACAACGGTTTATCTACACCATTCCAAAAACGAAAAAAAAAAGAAACAGAAACAAAAGCAACAGCAGAAATCCATTCCAGGATTCGCAACAGTTCGTTTGATTGAATATGCCACTATCAAACAGGCGCCGCGCGCGGCGCAAGGAAATCCAACTACAAGAGACCTCAGACGCGGAAGCTCCGGACTCCTCACCTACCCGGCCATCGAGTAAGAAGCGCAAGGTGTGTGGTTGCACTGCTTTTACTGGGATATATTCTCTCTGTTGATCGGTGACTAATTATACTGTCTGCAGGTCGAACGGACCTCCCCTCACACTCGTCCCATTAAGACTGGAGAGTCCGCCGACGAGGCTGACCACTCATCCCCAGAACATGAACTATCGGAGAACCAGGACCTTGTGGATATGGTGATATCCTATCTCGATGCCGCCCGCGAAGAAGTGCGCGTGATACGCGACCACTCCAATACGAAGACAGAGAACAAGCAGAGTATTCGTGCCTATGCAAAGATCGCCGGCCGCAACTGGACATACTATGTCAAAACTCTCCATGTCAACATTGGGCGCGAACCGGATCGTGAACAGAAGCTAGATGAGCAGTCAAGCCCTGTGACCATCGCTGCACGGGCACTGCCAGAGGTGAATGTGGATCTGGGGCCCAGCAAGTTCGTATCACGTCTGCATGCCGAGATCTTTTACGACGGCGAGGAGACGGCCTCTTGGCATATTCGTGTCAATGGCCGTAACGGCGTTCGGTTGAACAATGCCATCCTGAAGCGCGGCACTGATGCGACCCTTTCGTGCGGTGATATCATTGAGATTGCCAACACCCAGATGATGTTCGTTACCCCCGGCGATAAAGCCAATATCCATCCCAGTTTCGTCCAACGCGCGCAGCGCCTTGCCAATGGGGAAGAGGATGTCGCTGCGTGGGACGCCTCGCAACATGCCCATCCCCACCCTGTGCCATCGGGTGCCCCAGAGACTTCACGCCCTCCAACCGGCCAACCGTCCTTGGCGCCAGCACCGCATTTCCTCAAGCGCCAAGTAACGCCGCCGCCACGGTCCCCCGACACTGTTGGCGCCCGGACCGCTAAGCAGTCCCCGTTGTATAACCGAGGCATGATGATGGAAAGCACGGAGGAGATTGACTACAGCAAGGACTCGGCCAAGGACCTGAAGCCTCCCTACAGCTATGCCACATTGATCGCACAAGCAATTTTCTCCAGCGAAGAAGAAAAGCTTACCCTCAACAACATCTACAATTGGATCATGGACAAGTATGCATTCTATCGTCACTCTCAGAGCGGATGGCAGGTACGTGATGTCCCACATAGTGATCGTCGGCTCAGTTGCCCTAACCCATGACCAGAATTCGATTCGCCATAACTTATCCCTGAACAAGGCTTTCCAAAAAGTGCCCCGTCGTACTGATGAACCAGGAAAGGGAATGAAGTGGCAGATCGCCCCCGAGTACCGCGAGGAATATTGGAAGAAGCAGCTCCGTAAGGGAACGCAATCGTCGGCACCGTCCTCCCCTGCCACCAGAGATCCAGCCACGCGCGGGGCCAACGGCCTGGAGGCGGTTTTCTCCAGCAAGAAGTCCCCTCCCGTGTCATCCCCCGGGTTTAGTTCTTTCCCCGTAGCTCCGGTTGAGGCATACACGCCGGAACGGGGTTCGCGAGCAAGCCGGAACGGCCCCCAGGATCATCCTCTCCGTCCGCCTGTTCGAGACTACGAGGAGCCGTCCCCCTTGCCTGCGCGCTCAGCCATCAAGAACAGCAGCAATGGCACAAGCCTCCGGTATGGATTATCTGACAATGTCGCTTCTCCGCCAATTTTATCGTCCTCCTATTATGACGAAGGGCCATCGTCCATGATTACACCAGCACCACAACGGCAGCAACCACGTCTGCCCCCGCCTAGTACCGCGCAAATCCCATCCAAGTTTATGCCTATGAGCTCGCCAGCACAGTTTTGGAAGTTTGCAGACATTGGTAGTACACCCGCCCGGCCGGTTCCAGACATGAGCCCGCTTAAGGGTGACCCTGGGGATGGACTGGGCAGCATTCCGAGCAGCAGTCCGCCACCTCCGAATTTGGTCAGCCCTAGTAAGCCAGGTACAGCCAACGGTCTAGGCGCTGGACGATCACTGCCCCCGCGGCGTGAGCATGATTCGGCGGTCCGGTCAGCCGCGAACGGAGCAGGTCGAGATCTTGGAGACGATGGAGACGAAGATGATGGAGGTGGTTTTGATCTTGCGAGGTGAGCTCTTCCCAGTCTATGATTAGTAGCTGTACCCTTGACTGACTCCGTGGTAAGGGGCTTTCAACCCATTGGATCGTACCATCGGCAGTTGAGCAACGCCGCTCGCACCAGCGCTGCAACCTCATAACTATTCGATTTACTTTTGCTTGTCTTTTGATATCCCCGTATGAGTTACATGGCTTCCCTTACGATATTATTGCTAGAGCAGACCCGCATAGAACGGAGTAAACAGAATGAATGGATGGTGTCGTGATGTTTAACCAGGAGGTTCTCTGGTTTTCCCGCTTTTTCTGATGTACTTCACGTGAGCAATGAGATAATGTACCTATAGCTATTAGTATCATTTATACCATATTATATCGTTGATCTTTACTCAATTCCAACAGCATCTCATTCCTGATCAGCCACGGGAACATCCGGCCAAAACCTCTCCTCCAACCACTTCACCTGCCTCCACCACCTTTCACACCGGGCCATCACGTCCCCCTCCTCATTATTCAGTACCCTCGAAGCCAGAGCATCAACCACCTCCGCAATCCCCTCCACAAACTGCCTGAACTCCAGACTCGTCCAATTAGGAATAAACCTCTCCCTCAGCGCCCCGCCATCCAAATCCCTTTTCCCACTCCCACTCTCGCTCACACTCCCCATAACCCGCTTCGCCCCCTCCCAAGACTCCAGATAACACACCTCAGTAGCCCACAAAACAACCAACCCCTCCAACAAACTCACTGCAGGACTCCCCGCCGACATAAACATATCAATATACGCCTGCGTAATCGTCCCCGGCCCGAATGTCTCCTCCCCCTCCGGCACAACCGCCAGATCCAACCCATACTCCCTCGCCACCTCCTCGAAGAAGCCGATCTCACGTTGAATATTCACCAGCGCATCGATGAGCACCGCGACGATCCGTCGCTCGAGCACTGTCTCAGCGTTCTTGGGCGTATGCGGAAGTTGACATTTAGAGAGCAGGAGCCCAATGAATCGGACGTAGGATTGCGCATAGAGCCGGTCCTGCGAAAGCCATTTGGCCAAGGTGGATTTGGGGAGTTGGCCCTTGCCCGCGGCCACGAGGAAAGGATGTGTCGTTGCGCTGTGGTAGGTGGAAGAGTTGTGGGTTTTGAGGTGCGTTGTTAGTCCTCCGGGCATTTTTGGTTTAGTTGTGAGTGTGTGGTGGTGTTGATGTAAGTTTGGGGAGGGTTTGGTGGAGGTTGTTTGGGTTAGTGGGGTTTTCCTGGATAAATAAATATGTATGGTTACGTCAGTTTTTGTTTTAACATTTTCTTCTTAATACTTCACTTTCGGGGTGATTTGTTTGATGTGTCTTGGGATACTGTGTTTGGGGGTGAGGTTTGCATTGCCTTTTCCATATGGGAATTTCTATTCATGATATGACTTGGGGGTATTGATATTACAGGGCGTTGTGGTTCAATCTCCAGAGGTAAACGTTTGTTTGACTGCATTAATTTGTCGAGGAGGACTGACGGGTTCCACTTCTCCCGGATGTGCCTCAGTATACTCCGTACGAAGTACCCATCACCTTTCCCCAGTTTACCATGTTCTGTTCCTTTTTACACTTGTTACATCTGGCATTTCCTAGTTTGTTATAACACTTGGAAAATTACTTACTGTCCATGCCAACAACCTCACGGTGGTTGGAGAGTTCTCGGGTCTCATCGCCAGGTCAAGACCCGTCTCTGCATCGAATCGTTTGTACGTTTCTACTACACAGGTCAACATTAGAATGCCATATTGCTCATTATATGGTAGGAGGTTCAACTCGACCTCTTTATTTTCCCCTGTCGCTTAGGGACAGCTCATACAGCCTCAATTCTTGCGTGAACTAATATTTAAAAGACCTGCGATCTAGAACCTCGGTAGAACAACATCAACAGCAATTAAAGTTTAGTCTTTTCTGAGCTGTCTTCCATCATGCATTCAACTCCTTACAGACTCCGTAGACTACTGCACTACCCCTGAAGATCATCCCCCGAATCATTCTTCGAACTTAAAACTCCAGCATTGGCATCTTCAATTTGACCTGTCAGCAAGTCTTCCCCTCATCGGCTATGTTCCAACATCATGCAGACCATCACCTCCATGGTGTATCGCGCATCGTTTCCCGCGTTGTGTAAATGCCACCCAGTCATGTTAAATTCCTGGAGAATATCTGCCAGTTTGCGCGTGGTCGGCTCGCCGCGAATGATACGGAAGAATTCCGCCGTGTCCACCGTCCCTATAAACCCAGCAGTTCCCTCTGGCTTGCGCTCCATGCGTACTCCTATCTGACGGAGATACTGGATGTCACTGCTTATAGCATGTCCAACAAGGACTAGATGACGCGGTGCACGTGTAGGAGAAGATGAAGATGAGACTTGGAAGGCGGCTTGTATAGTAGAACCTAGATCGTTGGCTGAGACCCATTCACTGACTCCGAAATCGAAGTTACCGGGGCAGCCTGCGACAAAGTGTTGGTTGATGTGGTGAGCGTACTCTTCTACACGCAGATGACGTGACTGGATTTTGGTTCTCCAATGAGCCCCGTCTTCGGCTGGAGACATGCCAACGAGATTCAATGTATCTAGGATGGAAATGCCCACTTCCGTTATCTGCTTGTGATGATACTCATTAGATTCCACGTCAATACTAATGAATACAGGCTCCATCCAGAAGGGGAACGGTGCCGGCTTGTCCATATGTAGGGGCTGGGGCTGGCGGCTCTCAGGCATCGGCTGCAGGGCTTTCTTTGCCTCCCAGGCCGTGTCATCAATCAGGTCATCTGCTTCACTGGAGCGGAGACCCAAGTAACTCTGTACTCGTCGGAGATCCTCAACTAGGCGTCGTTGACTTTGCATGCGCTGTTGCTGCTTGGCCTTAGAAAGCTTCTTTTTGTTTCTGGTTGTTTCCCATGCGGTCTCTACCATTTGCTCAAACGCAATGAACTGCTCGTCCATTTCAGGCGAAGGACGAGGCGCCTCCGATGAGGCAGGAATTTGCGATTCGAGGTGGTCTTTGGTTTCCCGACATGTGCTCCTGCCTATGAATATGGGCTGCGGATAGCCTTCCTTATGAAACGGAAGAACCAGTCCTTCATCTGATAGTGAAAAGTTGTATTGTAGAGCACGGTTAATCTCCTGGAAAAAGGCTCGGACCTGGGCAGTGGGTACGAGAATCAGATTACGAGGGCCTGTAAGAGGCGGAAGCTTGATGTAATACCTGCATTGTTAGAGGGACACTGCACTTGGAAGACATTCAACACTCACAGATCCCAACATCGGTTCCAGAACTTGCCTCCATCGAAGAATTCGCTGGCCAGTTTCTGTGATAGTGGGCCTTTAACGTACTTGTAGGCGTACCGGGAGATTGTCACTAAAGGAGAGAAAGTCCCGTCATGAGGCACATTAAAGACTTCTAGGGAAGATGAGGGAATAGTAGCGACCGAAATTGCCTGCGTAGAAGATCCAGAGATTGGAATTACGCTTTCGGGACCCTTGTCTCTCGCATTCTCTTTCTGCTCATCGCCGGTAGCTGACTCGGAGGGTCCGAGACTTTGTACCGCCCTTAAAAGGATAGGGTTCGAGGGCTCCCGGTCAGAGTTTACACTGTCGTTAATAGGAGCGGACTCGGGGTCGGACTGAATCTCAGGCACAGTCCGGAGTTGAGTATCGAGTCTCAGCAAGGCTTCGTCCGCCCCAAACAGCAAAGTAAGGCGTGCTGCTCTATCCATCGTTTTCTATACGTTTGAGAGAGCTCAGATCAAACAAATAATGAGGATGAGATGAAAGAAGAAACAAATCGAGGTGTGTAACAGAAAAGGAGAAGGTCGGTTTGCCTATAAAGCAAACCAGAAGTGAGACAACTACATGACTCTGGTATTGACAATTCACCCCATAACGTAGCTCATAATAAATAGATCAGTATTTTACTGAAGGCATGGTATATTTTTCACCTACAATCTTGTGGTTGGGCCGGTATACTCCAAGCTGCACTGTGTAGACTATAGTGAAGAGATAGATTCAATAGAATCATTCACCAGCGACTGCCCTTACAGGAACACCTCGGAGATAGAAAAAGTCTCGAGTGCAGCTCATACTACTAATGTTAAAATTATCATTATTAAAATTATTTTTTTTTCTTTTTGATTTTTGTACTGGAAGTGTGTATAGCAACAAAAGGATACTTGTATCTCTGATCTGTAGGTATAGATCCATATCACACTAGTCTGAAATAGGAATGGATCACGTGTCGGAGTCAACCGAAGGCGCAGGACCAATCGCAGTGGATGGGGAACTCTAACCAGACCTGCCACGGAACTACTACTTGCTCCCATCCACCTTTCCCTTCATCATTTCATCTCCTTTTCATTCACGGTGCTAGACTACAGAACCGGACCCGGTCGGTCTCTCTCACGTGGACAGTCCATGCGATTGGATTGAACTCCCCTCGATGGCCTCGCCGTCACATATGGTGCCGTCATAAACAATAACATTCCAGCCGCGCTCCACACCCTCTGACTCCAGCTCCTCCGCGCCTTCGCTACTGCCCACGATGGCAGATTACGACGACGATGATGCTGGTGGAGTCATCCTGGACGGGCCCTTTGATCCTGATGCCCAAGCTACTGTTACCGACTTCATCGATTATACCGAATACCTCCCTGCTGATATCATTCGTTCCCTTACTCTCATCCGCGGCTTAGACGAGCGCTATCTAGAAGCCACTCAAGGCGTGCATGAACTCACCAAAACCTATGGGCAGCTCCCCGAATTACCTCCAGATGGACGTCCTGATGCGCGCAATTTGCGCAAAGATATCTCCTCCCAACTCGACCGCGCAATCAATGCCCGCGAGTCCTCTTACGCGGAAGCCTGTCGTTTATACGATGTTGTCGATCGCCACTTCAATCGCTTAGACTGTATCAAGCAGAAGCTTGAGGCACTTCCAAAACCCCCGCCCGCCGAAACCGCTGCGTCGCAGACTGTTCCCGTCACCAAGCGTGGTCGACCAACGAAGAAAGGTGATGATGTGGTAGCGCCCACAACGCGCATCACGCTTCGCCTGGATAGCCATGATCATACGAAATCTGCATCAACTCTAAAATCGAGAACGCGACGATCGGTACTCTCAGCGGAGCACCTTGCCGGTCTGCACCCCGACTCGCCGATCGCCAGTACCGAGCATTCGGATGTGGAGGAGCCCAAGGCTGCACCGTCAGAGCCACCCACTGATTCCACAGTCGCTCAAGGACGGAAAGAGAAACAAGGCCGACGATCGCGGACCTCACTGGGCACTCATACACATAGCGGCGTGGCAAATATCTCTACGAGTAATGCCCTGGCGATGCTCAAGCCTCCCCCTGAAGACGCAAAGCCGGGTAGCGAGGACATGCCGTGGTTGCGTCTGACAGAGTGGGAGATGACCAAGCTGCGTAAGAAGATGAAGAAAAATGCCGTGTGGCAGCCGAGTGAGGTGATGATACACCGCGAACTAGCCCTTCGAGGTCGGGGATGGGAGGCTTATAGAGCCGCGAAAGCGCAGGCTGAGGCAAATGGGACCGAGTTCATCGACTGCGATGATATCATGAACAACTATATCCCGGGAAAATTGACCAAGCGGAGTGAAGCAACCAAAGATACGGAAGGCACATTCGAGACAAAGTTGAGTAACCGAGGTATGAAACTGAACGAGGCGAAGAAACTCAAGCGTGAAAATCAAGCACGCGAGCAAGCGGCTGCCGCTGCAGCAGAGGCAGAGTTGGCCGCCAAACGCCAGGGACAGGCCGCCTCTCCTATTAAGGCCCCAGCCCCCAACAGCGATCAGACGCAGGTCGGCAAACCAAGCAGAGCAGCGAAGAAAAGAAAGCCCGATGAGAGTCCGGCCATGGATGCTACTACCGCCCCTTTGGCAGGTGCTGAAACACGACCTGCGCTGCGAAGTCCGTCGAAACGCCGTAAGACAAGCGACACACCGATGGAATCGAGTGTCAGTGTCCCAAGTGCTTCAACTACCACACCGTCAGCTAACATACCTACGCCCGTGGCTGAAGTGACTGAAACGAAGCCCACCCCTCCTCCCGCCTCTCCCGTCGGATCTAAGCGCTCGGTTCCACTGCCCGGAGCTGCGGTCGCCCCACCTATTCTAGAGGGTACTACTACAACGCCTCCCGTAACCCGACCCCCTTCCAGGCGTCGCTCCGCTGCTGCGTCGGCCGAACCAGCTCCTTCTATCGGACTTTTCACGGCAGGAAGAGAGCTTCGGCGAAAGAGTGCTACCCCTGCACGCAAGACCCCAGTTCCAGATGTTTCTCGAGCAGCTAGCTTGAGTGCGCCTCGTCGCAGGAAGCGGCCCGCTCCAGGCCCCGTATCATCAGGACAAGACGGTGGTGCCGCGGTAAGCTACGGCCGCCGCAAGGCGAAACCCGGAAAGAAACGGTTTCGCGAGCACGGACCGAAGGACGGCGACATCCGCATTGATGAAGATGGTGTCTTAGAGGAGATCGACCCTAATGAGCCTCGCTACTGCCTTTGTGGAGACGTAAGCTTCGGCACGATGATCTGTTGCGAGAACACTGATGTACGTAACTTGCCCTAGGACATCCAAATACCTGAAACTAACTAATATTTGTAGTGCGACAGGGAATGGTTCCACCTTGACTGCGTCGGACTCTCCGAAGTTCCCAGTCGAACTGCTAAATGGTACTGCCCGGAGTGTCGCGTGAAGTTCAACAAGGGGTCCGATGGAATTGTCAAGATCGGTCTTCGTCGGTAGTCTATCCCATTATCATGGTGTTTCTCTGAAGGATAGCACTTCATCTGTCACCACTCCTCTTTGAGTTCATGAGACCACGACATCGCAGCGTTATTTGGGAATTTTGTGCCTTGTACTGATTAATATTGATTGATATTTTTGCAGCATGGCGAAGTGCTGGAGTTTGGAGTTAGCTTACTTCGTTCTAACGCATTAATTGAGGTTGGGTGTTTTCACTTGTTGTGTTGCTCTCATCTACGGATGCCAATTCGCATTTGTCCCGTTACAGTTGCGCTTTCCTGTGGGGGAAGGGATATTCCCTGGCCTGTTACAATCCTTTGTTTTTCCTTCTGTTGCTACACACAGAACTTCCAGTAAGATGGCATATTTAACCTTCATTAACTTTCATGGATATATGTATCACATACAAAATCATGGCTTAAGAAATTAGATCACTTCAACTCCCACTTGTCGCCCTCGTTCACGATCTCGACGGGCCGTCTCTCGTCCAGCGAGACCCGTCCCGCATGCAGAATAGCCGTTGTCGCAATGGTGTTCTTGAGTGTTGGAAGTGGTCTGGCATCGAGCTGATCCAGAGTGACCCGACCCTCATTGACTGCCGTGACGGCGTCAATGAACTTCTCGAAACTAATGTAACCGTAGCCAGTTTGGCCGCTGAAGTTGCCATCCTCGTTTGGTGCATAGCGCATATAGAAGCTATATCAATTTCCCTTTGTTAGCGATGGCTTGCCCTCGGAAATGTAGAAACAGTCCTGGAATACTCACGGGTTGACCCAGATCAAACCCTGCTCATCCTCGGTGACATCGTAGCCACGCTTAGCCTGGTTAATGCGGACCTCACCCTTGGAGCCCATATCTATTGACACAGTCAGCACAATCCAGCTCGGCTGCACAGTAGCGAGAAGAAGAAGAGATGGGTAAAAACATACAATGGAAATACTGGTTCGAATGTACACCGGCCCTCTGCGGCGCCGTCCAAGAAGCAGTATAAACGCCCGTCGCAACACGCGACGGATCACTCTTCTTCCTCCATTCCACCAGCAACGTAATCGTATCCTCCGTCTCATTTACACAGCCCAAATCCAGTGCTGTACCCTTCGATGCCGACGCGGTGACCTTCACCGGCGCATACTCGGGCACCATGCTCTCATTAATATCGATGTGGTGCGAGTTCAAATAGTACGAGATATCGCTATCCTTGCCGGCCCAGGCCTTGAATGTCTCCAACTGGCTCTTGGGCTGGCTCATGTAGCTGTAGAAGTAGTTGAAGTCGCCTAAGTTGCGGGCCTTCGCGCGCGCGTCGGAGTACGCGGGGTCGAAGCGCTTGTGGTGCTCGATAAAGACGAAGACACCGTGCTTGTGGGCTTCTTCGAGGAGCGTAAGGTGGTCGGAAAGGAGTTGGGTTGCGGGCTTGGTGATCAGGACGTGGATCTTGCGTTGGATGGCGTAGAGGGCGATGGGAAAGTGGGTTGGGTCGGGGGTGAAGATAGTGATGGCTGAGCCGGGCTCGAGAGCATCGATGGCGGCCTTGTAGGCGTCTGGGTCGGTTTGGTCGTCTGCTGGGTAGGAGGTGAAGGAAACATCGAGGCCGTTGTAGACTTCGGAGATGTTCTTTTGGAGGTGGGAGCCTGTTTTCGGTTTTGTGAGGATGCGATGTGTAGCATGTTTGGTTGGGGCAACTTACGGATTCCGGGGAATTTGCGTCCAGACACTCCTACCATGCTCAGGTTGCCGACTTTGCCTCGTCGGCGGAGGTCAAAGAGTGTCAGGCCTACTACACCGACCTTCTTGTCGGATGTCGATGCTGTGCCGCCGACGTAGCCTGTGGTGTACTCGCCCGTACCCACCTGAGAATGACCATGGTCAGTCGTTCAATTCTGTAGTATAGGTGGTTGCCGGCCAATGGATGCGACTTACCATCAACACACTAGGAGGAGCCATTTTGTACTTGCGATGTTC